GTAGACACTGAAATCTTCCTGAGATATTTGCCTGAGTGATTCTGGTTTTCATGTTCAGATTGATTGCCTTTTTAAAGGCAAACTCCTGTGTTTTTGTATCACCCTGGCTAATAAAGCCGTTATCCGATACTTACTTAGAATTATAGGAGGAATTTAACTTGCTTAAGGACTGTTGAAATAATTGAGCTCTTTTATGGTTTGGTTTTGTTGTTGTTGCCCATGTAACCCGCTTGTGTTAAATAGTTTCATTGCTATTGGCTAATAAAGATTTCCTCTGAACTAAGGCTGGTTTATGGTTGTTTACCTTTCATTTTAATCTTTGTCACTGTGCAGAGGCTGCAGGTACTTTGCCTTACTGGTGCTTAATCAAAGATCATGACAGCACACAATGTCCTGTGCTAAGTTATTAAAAGGCTACTTGCTCTTCTTTGTAGAATCTTTTTCTTAGTGTTTGTCTACACATAAAAGTTGTGACGATTTAACAATACTGGTATAGTTAAAAGGGTAGAACACACAACCCCATCTGGACGCAGTTATACCCATAAAAGGGTATTTCCTTTAAGGGACGGGGCGTAAGCTATACCACTATAGGCACCTTTATAACAATATAACTGTCTCCACACTAGGCATTGTACCACTTCAAATATTTTAGTAGAAAATCACACCAACTTTCCTTTTCTAATCAGCCTTGATAATATACAAGACTTTTCACAATGCTGGACAACTGTCATGCATAATTTTTCCTGAGCAGAGCCCTAGGTCAGCATGGCTTTTCCTTTGGGCCATTTTGTGACAATCTGGCTCTTTGTCAGCAACCCCTTCAAGGCATGGCAATAACCAGCCATTTCAAAGAAGCCTTCCCCAGAACCACATATGGTCTCGGGGGTGCTGAGAGCCACTGAACCAGACTTGTAAACCCTGTATATAATAGAAACCACTTCAAGCCAGCAGTTGCTGCAGCACCCCCAGAACCCCTAGTTCCAGCAACTGTGTACGGTCTCACATTTGAAAGGATATGTACTTTACTGGACATCAGTTGGGCTTTGTTTTTATATATGATTTACAACCACTTCCAATGGAAAATGTGTCCTGAGTGACCTGTTTTTCTGCTATGACAGTCGACCTGATTTCTCGCTCCCCTTTTCCTCCCGTGAGTGCACCCTGCCTGGCTGGAAACAAATAATTTGTGTTTGTTTACTTGTGAGAAGCAGCACTGTAGTCCAGTGGACAGCAGTGGCGCAGGAACTAGAGGTGCAGGGGGTGCTGCAGCACCCGCGGGCTCCCAGCTACTGGCCCCGCGCACCCAGGGTCCCACCCTCAGCTCTGGGGCAGGGAGGTGGACAGGAGTAAGGGGACTGACTTTCAGCACCCCCACTATTAGGTGTTCCAGTGCCACTGGTGGACAGGCCTCTAGACAAGGACTCAGGAGAACTGGGTTCTTTTCCCAGCTCTGCCGCTGACCTACTGTATGACTTAAAGCAAATCATTCCAGTGCTCTGAGTCTTTGTTTCCCCTCCAACCTTTTGTCTGTCTTCTCAATTTATATTGTAATAGCTCCAGCTTTCATACTAGAAGGGTGGGTTTTGTACAATTACAATACACAAGTCCAGGATTTGAATTACTGTATATAATAATGATTCATTTCTTCTTGCTGATCTACCACTCAGTCACTGTAGATATGTATAAATGAACCATAACTCATGTCTTGTCATGTTTCACTACTTAATTTTGGTAAACTTGTTCATCCAGCCTGTTGGAATCGTGTAAATCTGCCCATCTCACATGCATACTACATTTGCCTATAAATCCTTGATGAGTTTAATCAGTGCTGTCTTTAACTATGAATTTATTGGCTTTGCTAGAGTTAGTTGGACATGGATGGCCTATTTCCAAACCCGAGAACCTTTTTGGCCCTGTACAAAAGTGTGCACACAATGGCATAGTGAATCTATGTGTAGCATTACTGTGATTGTGCATGCACATTTTATATTTGCGTACACAAATGGCCAGTCATTTTCAAGCACAAATACCCAACCTACAATTACTGTAACTGCTGTCACAAATTAGGTTCACAATTATATACACATCTTTGCATATGGCAGAAAACTTTTCTGGAGTTAAAAATCCATCCTGTAGGACCAAATTTTCAGTTAGCCTCATTTCTTTTTATTTGCAAAAAGTCAGCCCATGCACACATTTGCATACTTTAGACTTGTCCTTGTGCATGCAAATCAGATTGCTGCAAACCTAACTTCCACAGTGATAAATGACTGCTAATGTGCACAAATAGTTGTCCTGTGTGTGCAAACAATTGTATGTATCCGGAGTGAAAATCTGATTCATAATGTTATTTAAAAGACAATTTGTTTAAAAAAATGAAGAAATATAAAGCCAGATCCTTTGCAGGTATACCTCAATGGATCTGTGTCGATTTACACCAGCTGAGGATTTGACCCATAATTCATAAGTAATGATAAATGTGTGACTTTGGCTCAGCAGGTGAAAAACATTTCTTCCCCAGTCAGTATGATCCATCATTTAAAGCTGCATATAAACTCTCTGCCAAAGAATGGATTTTGACCTTTTTTTACAATCCTGTTAATAAAATTTTGAAATAATGTACTGTGCATACATTGTAGCTAATTTTCACATTTCAGGAGCATGATGCTAGGTTATCTTTTACTGTGCATGATCTACAGAAGGTCGTGATGATGATTCCTAGTCTGTTAACACTAGGAATTACAATTTTCCTCCCCTAAATGGTTGCTGCATACCTAGTGATGGGTAAATCTCAAAAGGTTAGGAGGGTCTGTTTTCAGAAAGTTTGTGTGCTTGTCTAATGTTTATTCACACATATTGAGTCTGCAGATTTGGGCTGGAAAACTTGTGGGAAGATGGGAGGTTTTTTGTGAGATTTTTGGCACATCCTAGTTTGGTCAGGCTGGAACTTGTAAATGAAGAGGAACAGTAACCGCTAACTGATGAAGCACGTTAATCAAAACATTTCACATCAGAATAGGTTTAGTTTGTATTTTAGATAAATGTTCAGATTTATCCAAACCAGTTCATCACCCTTACGTACCACATCATGCAATGCAATAGGAGACGGAAAGTCTGAATTGAAAGTCTATGAATTGGCCCACAAAACTTGAAGAATCCATTACCCTTCACAACATCAATTCTGATCTTCATTAAAGCCAGCATTAAAATGAATTTATATTAGCAATTGTTACTCATCCCTATTTTGATCCTTTAAGCTTCTGGTGTCTCTTACAAAGATGCTGATCACCCTCAATTCCCAGTGAAGTCGTGGGAGTTGAGGGTATTACAAGAGTGCTTGTCTATATATAGGACCCTACCAAATTCGTGGCCGTGAAAAATGCATCACGGACTGTGAAAACTGGTCTTTTGTGTACTTTTACCCTGTACAATACAGATTTAATGGGGGAGTCCAGCATTTCTCAAACTGGGGGTCCTGACCCAAAAGTGGGTGCTGGGGCAGGTGGGGGAGTCACAAAGTTATTGTATGTGGCTCACGGTATTGCTGCCCTTACTTCTGCATTGCTTGTAGAGCTGGGTGGCGAGAGAGCAGCAGCTGCTGGCCAGGTGCCCACACCAGGCCACCCTTACGTCTGTGCTGCTCTCTGGCGGCCCAGCTCTGAAGGCAGCGCCACTGCCAGCAGTAAGGGTGACAGCAGTAAGGTGTCACCCTTACTGCTGGCGGCGGCAACCCCCCTACAATAACCTTTTGACCCCACCTGCCCACAATCCTTTTTTGGATTAGAATCCCTACAGTTACAACACTGTGAAATTTCAGATTTAAATTTCTGAAATCATGAAATTAACGATTTTTAAAATCCTATGACCGCGAATTTGACTAAAATGGCCCGTGAATTTGGTAGGGCCCTATCTATCTATCTATCTATCTATATGTATGTAGCATAGCTCCTGTGTGATGTAGGACCATTAAAACTTGCTCTGGTGTGCACTGCAAGTGGTTTCCTTTGTGCAGCTCTCTACGTTAGCTCTTAGCAGAGGGCACACAAAAACACCTCAGAAGATCACTCGGCACCTTGCAGGATCAAGCCCCAGGTAATTTATTTAAAAACAGAAGCCTGTTCAGCAAATTTGTCATAGATAGATTTTTGGAGGCCTGTGGAAGCTCTAAGGTCCCTGACTATTGCCTTGAATTGGGCAGAATTCCTTTGCTTGTGAAAGTTCTTCATAAAAACAAACAGAACTTGGTCACCAAACCAGTTTCTCCAAGTTTTATTACATGAGCATTTTTAACTTGTTTTCTTTAGTTTTATTATCAATATAAATATATGAAATATTAATATTAATGTTCTGTCCCACAAATGATGTTATTCACTAATTGTATTGGTTGTAATCACATTATAAGAGAAGTAATTTATCTTACTACAGTCATTTGTGTGAAGTAGCAACAGAGTTCATATTAGTCAGAATATTATGAGCTGTCATGTCAGCAGTGTTGTCTTTATTAGAAGCAATAACATTTTCTCCACAGCATTTTTTTTTTGCATAATATTAACGATGATGCATATAGAGCTTCCACAGCAGCCACACAGCTATTCACTTTAACATGAAGTATGGCTGCATAGATATCTATATGTATACATGAAGGAAATAGTTATGTAATAAATGTATTATGCATCCTTGATTGCATTGCTTTCTCATCCATTAATCCATCTTCCTTGGGATGCAATCTAACAGCCCAAATTCCTGAGCAGCTTCAAACTGCGGGGCCTTTATTTAAAAATCAACCTTCCATCTAAATGGTTCTTCCTCTTTCTCCCAAAATTACATTTGCTGTAGGTGCAGGACAGGTGAGATCCAGTCCTGGAGCAGTGACAGCTTTTCTATATGTACTAAAATGAAGACTTTAAAGTCAAGTCTGATATCTGCAGCTCAGCAGAGATTCCACCTTTACAAATGGATGCAAGACACACTTCTAGCCCTGAAGTATTCAAGAGTCTTACCTTTAAAATCCTGATGTTCTGAGGAATTCAAAGGTATTTTAGGTCATTTTAGAGGCTTTTCTGGCTCCTCCCCACACAGAGATTGGATTCATAGTAGCTAAGGCTCCTGGTTTTTCAAGTGGAGGGATGGGGGAAATAGACAACTCAATTAAATATTTAAAATTCTTTATGACAACAAAAATAGTTTTTCAATAGCATACAGGTCATATAGACAATGCATCATGGAGTGGTGTGGTCAGCACTTCTTTGGGATGACCTCCATAATGTAGTCATCCCAAATTCATACCACTCCAGACTAGCACATATAATTATTAATATAGGACCAGATTTTGATACACTCTCTTACTCATATTGGGCAGGATGCAATATGAGTAAATGAATACATGTTGATTTGGTGTGGTATAAAAGTGTTGTCAACATGAACATGTTTTAGATAGGCTCTAACTGCCACCTCGCATCTGTGTCTGGCCTTCATAATGGTAATTTACAGGGCATCATTTACAGGGCAAGGTGTGCTTTAGACCCCTTTTAGTCCTTCATGAATGCCTACTTTTGGGAACAGATTTGCTTCTTTCACTGCCTCTGGGTGGAACCATGCAATTCAACCACTGTTGGACTGGATCTCTGGGCTGCAGGCCCCCTATTTCCCAATCACATTAACCTGATAGGCCCAACTGAATTAGGCACCTGTAAGCTCTTTTTCTCCAGGAATCTTTAACTCAAAACCAGCATTTTCAAAACGCATTATTTATTCATCCAACATAAATAGCATGTAGAGCAAAGGATTAAAACCAAAAAGGCCTATACACATGGGCCTTACCTACACCATAATCTTTCCATGCAAACTTCTGTAAATTCTCTTCAGTTATCCCTCTCAGGATAGGGATTAGCAGCCTGCTTGCTGCAGTTTCTGTGTCTCCTTCTCACTGTGTCTCTGTCAGCCTCTCACCGGGCAGCTGCTGACAGTGCACTCAACTCCCCTAAACCAGCATCTTTAAAAATGTAGTATACCCTCCAATCCTAGGATCAGCTCTTGGAAGAATAAATGTTGGCCAGCCTGTTGGAGTCAGGTAGGGGATATTCTCCAGTTCATAGTTTCCCCATTGTTTCCTCAAGGACCTTTGTCATTCTCTGTAGACAGAACCTCATAGTTTTGTTTCTGTTTTGTCCGCCCCTCCCCCCGCAGTCTCCTTTGATTTAACTCTTTGCAGTCAGGCAGGATAATAAACTGAGGTGCATGTAACATTTATAAAAAAAATACACATAACTCCCTCATTCTTCACAGTAACTATGAGTGAACTTACAAAGTGGCTAAGTTTTGGTTTGGATAAATATACATTTTAACTGTTCCCTCCAGAAGCTGTTCTATTCCACTATATTTCACTGCAGCGGAAACACTTTTAAACGTAGTTAAAGAGAAAACAAAAGAAGTACGAAGACCAGAAAGACCACAACAAAGAGTAATTATACAAGAATCTATTATTCCCCAATGAAAACCTCTCTAGGTCACAGAATCATAGAAAGTAGGGCAAAACAAGATTTGTTTATGGCATCATGTTGTCTATTGCCTTGCCACTGCAGAATAGTTCTCTTACCGTAGTTTTCCTAGTGCTTTGTCCATTTTAGTTGAAGTATCTTAAGTGATAGGGCTTCCACCAATTCCCTTAGAAGATTATTCCACAATCTAATACATCTCTTTAATAGCCTTTCTTCTCTAATGTTCAGCCCTTGCTTTGTTTCATCCTGTTATTCCAACCCCATGGGCCACCTTAAACAATTCTTCCTCCTTCTTGGTCTTTGTCTTTCAGACACTTACAGATGCTTATTATTGATCCTTCAGCTTACAGCTGATTATAGGGAGAGAAAACCAGATTGAGCTGTAGCAGAGATCACCTCCAAGTTATGATGATTGGGAGATATAGATGTTTTTAATGGTTACTTATTTCTTTGTTAATAAATTGTATTAAAATTTACTTGTATTAAGATTTATTTGCAAAATATTAGGGGGATTCATAGTATTTACACATTTTTCCTTGATTTGGGGATGTGTGTAGAATTTTTTATTGATCTGTTCATGTTTGGGTAACAGTGGCTGGAAAAGGATAAGTGGGACTTCCACAGTAATATTTTCAGTCAGCATAACCAAGGATGTGAAGTCTATCGTGCTCAGGGGACTATACACTGTTGTTAATTGCTTATTCACTCCTGCTTGAGCCAATGCTATCAGGAGACTGATCACAATTCTGTTAACAAATGGCAGGCACAGATAGGAGCTTGCTTAAATCGTTCTCCATTAGAAGTGCTGCAGTAATTTGCAGCACGCATACATTCCTTTAATGAAGGTATAATTGTCACCTGGCAGCAATGGTGGTTGTTTCCTGTTCTCCCACCCAGTTATCAGTGTTGCTGCTTATGCCTTGAAGTTGCAAATTTTCCATAGAACAAAGCTTTCAGCTGGCAAGTTCCAATAACCATATCACTGCAAATGTTCTTGTATTAGAAAGGTTACTTTAATCTTTGACACTTCATGATGCTTTTGTCTGCAAGAGTATGTATAGCCTATTATGAACAGCTAAGCCTTAGAAATTATTCAGAGAAGCCAACGTATAACAACATTATATCAGTGCAAGTAAGCTTCTAAAAGGAATTGCATCACAACTAACAATAGACGTTTCTCCAAGATCTAGCTGACTGAACAGTTACTGTTTAGCATTTTTGAAATAGTACCGTCTGCTGTCTCCTAAAATATTACAGCGAGCACAAAACTGAAAAGCTATCCTACTAGAAAATAGATAATTTAATATAAAACCCTTTAAAACTACATTTTCTTGGATATCTCCTTAAGGAGTCATTAAGGATCTTTCATTTTTCTTTTTCTTGTCTGTCACAGCTTTCTTCAGTTCTGCCTCTAAATCTCCAGCTTTTCCACTCCTATTCAAACTCTGTCATTCTGAATGCTCTGGGGCAAAGAAATTGAATACTATATTATATGTCCAAATACAGGTTAATAAAAACAGAGAAAAATAGTTAACAGAATTTAAATAAAGCTCAGCAAATACTTGATTAATTTAACCCTTTTTTGCTTTTGAATATCCATGAATAGATTATGATTTCCACAAATGTATGTCATTCAGATTCACTTGACAATTTTTCTGAGGGTTTCTTTTATTCAATGGATTGATTATGAACTAGTCTATTATGAACATTTGATACCACTTGAAACTGAAACAGCGTTGGTTAGTTGTGATGGGTCACATCAGGTGATATCCTGGCCCAATTACAGTCAATGGGAGTTTTGCCACTTCGATGGGGGTCAAGATTTTGCCCATGCTGCTGGTTTTGTTCTCTGACGATATGATTGTAATCAGATTGTAATCTTGCAATCAGAAGGATTTTTGAAGAAGCCACTGAGGCTTTGCATTTTTTTAGGAAGAGGTTGCAGCTTAGGGTATTTAGAAAATGTTTTAACTATTTTCCTTTCTGAGTCACACAAACCTCACCTGAGACGTCATTCCTAGAATGTTTAGACTGTTGTAAGAATCATTGCCGAGGCGCAGCTGACAGTTAATTTTTGTCTCATTGCATTTATATACATTAATTGCGTGTGTGATCCTTGCTGTGAAGAATATAGTCAGATCTTTGTCTGGCTTACAGCTGCCTCTGGGATCTAAGGAAGAGGTTTTGGGATACCTGTTCCCCTGCTGTGTGATAAATGTCTCATTCCATATGCCAGTTTGCATATGCCTAATATAAAATAACTAACATGACATATTTTGACATAAGGCACAATAATATAAATGCCTCATAAATGTTATGGCAGGCAACATTTTAACAGAAGTAGTTGATCTTGTGGAGCACTATAGAAGTGTGATAGCTTCCTTCTCTGGATTATAGCATAGCAACGTTAACCTTCAGCCCCCCATAAAAACAACAGGTGAAACCCAGGCAGACAAGCAAATCAAACAGTTGCCTGCTACTTGGGGAGGAAATGCATCAGGTATGGAGGGATTTTTCTATATCGGAAAGGCATAGAATCATCGACATGAAGGGCTAGAATGGACCTCAAAGGTCATTGTAACACTTCTCATGGATACCCAGGACTGTGAGGTACCTTGCTAGTACCTGCTCTTAGTTTGAAGGAGCCTTGTCTGTGCCTGTTGTGGATCAGCTCCTTGACTCCCCAGCCTTTGACAACACAGCACTATCTTTCATGCCTCCATAGATCTCACTCCGTCTGGCTCATTGATTGTGGATATGGTCCACCTGTTTATGTGCATGCAAACTTTGATTTAGCAAAGGTCCCTGTATACAAGTCCCCCATAGAGATGATTCCTGTTCTTCATAGGAATAGATTGCCTATATGGATAGTGCAAGGGGTGCTTTTGTCCCCAAAGTAGACAGACATCAGTGTTGCACTGCTTTCAGAGGTGGGAGGCTGGTGAGCGGCAGTTGCTGGCCAGGAGCCCAGCTCTGAAGGCAGCACCGCTGCCAGCAGCAGCGCAGAAGTAAGGGTGGTAATACCATGCCCACTGCTGGGCTCTACCCCCGACTCTTTTCCCCCTCATTTTTGCCCCATTTCCTCTCCTCCCTCCCCCTCCTGCTTTGCATCCTGGGCGGCTGCCCTGCTCACCCACCTTGGTTACACCCCTGCCCTAAACTTTCCAAGATATTTCTGGAGTGTGCAAAGTAAGCTAATTTAAAACAAAATTGCAGTGGAAGCCTAATAGTGTGGAAGCCACAATTTCTGCAATATCACGAATTAAGTAGGACCTTATCTATGAACCTATAACAATACACATGTCACGCTTTTAGCAACATGAAGTGTCTTTTCTGTAAACTAGCATAACAAGGACAAGGCTTCATCATTCAATCTCTTTAGAAGGCTGCATAATATTCAGATATTATTTCTAAATCTGTCCAATCTCTTCATATAGTTTCTTTTTATTTGCTTACACTTTCAGCTGGCATGCATGCCTTGACATCATCTCTTCTTCACATTCTCTGATGAAGCAGTGTCACCACCATTTGAACTATTGTAGCTGTTTACTAACTTGGTACGAGAAAAGATCATGGCCATCTACATATTTGATGGCCCAAGGTCTATAGCAGGTTAACATGAAAATGTACTTTGGAGTTGCTTGTAGAGTGCAATTGTGACAAACCTTTAATATCAATCATCCCAGCAAAATAAAGAAAAGAGGGGGATTATATATATATAAAAACTACAGAGGAAAGAAGAGAGCACGTACATTTACCTTGCTGGGAACTGGTATTTGTCTGAATGTGATTGCTTTAACCAATCATTTATAATGGTGTTTTTCAACTGCAATATGAAACATTTTCTCTATAGTTCTGCTAGCATTTATCAGCATAGATGGACAACTTCTTTCATCTATTATTCACCCAGTTCTTTTCTTGGACTTTTAAACATGCTGTGATCAAGTTATACAGATCCTTCACATCGAGCACATACTCTGTAACCTAGAAAAAGGCTTATGGAGGCATTAGAATATGCCTGGAAATGAGACCTTCCTGGGTTAGCTCATTTACCTCCTTACAGCTACTCTGGGATCCGTGCAGCTGCTGCTTCATATACAAGAAAATCCAGTTAAGTTCCGAAGGAGACCATGCCAAGGTCACTGACTCCTGCCCTATGGAGAAAACAACATAGAACAGTCAATTCTAAACACATCAATCTCCAGTGTTATGACAATACAGGAGATTGGGTAGTAGGTGGTCCCTCTGGTAAATTAGTTTTATGTTATCTAAGAAGCAAAACTTCAATGCATAGCCACTGGACAATCAGCAGCAAGTACATTCCACAGTCCCTGGCTAGTCATTCATTTTAACTGATTGCTGGTGAAGAAACTAGGTGATACTGAAGAAGAAAGACCCATGCCTAAAAGTAAAAAAAGAAAAAAGAAAATACCCCCTAAAGAGTTCCTCCTTTGTTATATCTAGTTTGTATTTTTGAAAAGTTCCCAAGAAAAACAGGTTGGAATTTCCTGAATTTCAAGTTTTCTAATATTTTTTTTGTCAAAAATTGAGCTTTCTATCGAACCTCCCACTACACTTCTAATAAAAAGTTTTGTCGGAATTTCAAACAAATTTCAAATGTAATCACCTCTGCTCTTATGAGTATCCGGCAATTCAAACTTTCATGAAGATGGAAACACTTCTCTTGTGTACTGGGGCTTATATAGAGCTCAACATGGAATGCTCCATCTTCTTGGATTCTGTCTGAACCCAGATCATGAGATAGTTGTCATTTGTGTTTGTTTCAGAAGAGCCAATTAAATTATACTAACTGACCTTGATTCTGAAGATGACATTGCAGTACTTTTCAACAAACCTTGCAAAATTAAAGACACTAACATTATGGCACAGTGGAAGTAAAACCATAGTGCTCCTATACAGATTGATGAAGATGAATGTAATGTTTTTAGGGGCACATAATGAAGTGGGAGATTTCCCTAGTCAAGATGTCAGTCAGAGATGTGGCTTATATTTAATATCACAAGTTTCCTATCTACCTGCTTTTGATTGCATTCTGAGACATTACTTTGAAAAACACTATTTTAAAGCTTTAGAATACCCTTTTTTTAAAAAAAAAATCTACATTTTCTAAAGGCTAAATAAAGCCTCACTAAAACTATAGCACATCACTTTGCACCTGACCCAAAGCTCATTGTAGTCAGTAGGAGTCTTTCCAATTACTTCAAAGGACTTGGATCAGGCCCCTTATCCTTAATTAATGCAGGACTAAAAGGAAGAGTTTGATAGTTTGCGGTTTCTGTTTTTTAGAAATTAAACAAATTTTCATGATGCATCCAGCGATGGTTTATGTTTGTGCTCAATTAGTCATTCTTTAGAATAGAATAATATTAGGGTTTGGGAATCCAGCATGATATTAGATTTATTTATTTCTGTAAGAAAAATAGCCCATTTGCTTAACTGTCAAATGTTGACTGTTTCAATATGTTCAAGCCTAGAAGGCTGAAAACAACGGCACAGATGCGATTCACATAGGGCTCACCAGCATGGTGCAGCAGTGTTCTGGCTTGTTGGAAATCTTCCAAGGGATTCAGAAAAAGAACATACTGAAGTAATGCAAACCATTATTTAACCAATTAGTTAGGAATATGTGGGGTTTTTTTTTCAGAATGATCAGATGTAGCTTTGTTAACTTTTATTTGTTCTCATCAAAATTTTCCTATACAGAACAAGTATATAATCATGGTAGCTCTTATCTGTAGTTAAAATGGATATGTTCCAAGTATAAGAACTTTTAAAATAAATACTGTATTCATAAAAAGGTTTACACAAATCCTCAGATGATCGCAGGAACTAAGTGAAAGCAGACAACATAACAAACGAGGCAAATAGTTACTGGTAGCTAAATGTAGCAAAGAATACCCAGAGCCTAGATCGTGATTATAGATGGAATGTATTTATTTACATCATAGAATTTCAAAGTACAAGATTTCCCACATTCTCACTTAAATTCTTAGCTCTCTGGGGCAAGGACTGTCCTTGTGTATTGTTGGTTTTTTATTGTACAAGGCCTCATTTAATTGGATTCTGATCCCTGACTGATGTCTTTAAGTAGTAATGCAATAGATATAATAATAAAATAATGATAATAATACATTATAATTTTAAGTAGTAAATCAAATTCTCTGTTTTACACAAAATTCATACATAATAAGAGCATTAAATACCTAGATTTCTCTGGGATGATGATTATTTCACTTTATTTTTTATTTATTTAGTTAGTTTTTCTCTTTTCCTTAAACCTATTGTGGATGTAAAGATTTGCAGATCAGAAGCAACAGCAGTTTTACAAGGAGGACCTTCCAGGTCTTCAGCACAGTAATGAAATATGATACAAAGCAGCACAGTGTCAATAAAACTACGGGATAAAGGTCAGGTTTACATCGATGGACGGAGCTGGCAAATACATTTGTTCCTGCAATGTCTGTGTTTTAAATGCCACCCTCTGATGAACCTGCTGCAGAAACACTCTTTTGGTTTTGATGAGATGTCAGTTTTGTTCAGTGCTGATCAAATAAGATGAATGAAAGTGAAACAAGAACAAAAATATTACTCCTGTCGTTTATTCTTTATGCATTACAGGAAGTGGGTCAGTCAGGGAGATTTCTCTTAAACAAATAGCAATCACTGCACAATATCACCCATTGATCTATTTCACAGCAGGCAATAGCCTTTTTGTCAGAAAGGACATACAATTCAAATACCACAGAATACATACAAAAACCAATGACAGATTTAAAAAGTATCTTTTCCTCTTGCCCCCAAATCAATCTAGGCTACCAATTCAGGGCATAGCAAACTTATTTCCATACTTGTAGTGGAGATGTAGGTCCTTAAAAACTATATTTTATGTTAAATATTCTGATGTAAAAAAACCCCAAAGCCTGTCACTTAAAGAACGCTTTACATATGAAAATGCAGAGGCACTCTGTTAATTGTATACAAATCAGATTTAATCAGCAAAATAAATAAAGATAAAACTTAAAATGTATCGTACTCTAGAGAGATGGAATGGGCCAGTTTTACTTGCTAATGAACCAAATTCTCTAGCTTTACTATCATTTTACATATAAAGAAAAGGAGTACTTGTGGCACCTTAGAGACTAACCAATTTATTTGAGCATGAGCCATCCGATGAAGTGAGCTGTAGCTCACGAAAGCTCATGCTCAAATAAATTGGTTAGTCTCTAAGGTGCCACAAGTACTCCTTTTCTTTTTGCGAATACAGACTAACACGGCTGTTACTCTGAAACCTGTCATTTTACATATAGTTATTTGAAAGTACTATGCTCAGCTTGAATGACATATCCTAATCATTACTCCCAATCTTCTTGGGAAACTGACAGCAAATAATAGTCCATAGATCAGTGGGAATCGAATCTGTTTTTGATGGTACATTTCTAACAAAAACAGTCCTTTCCTGTAATCAGTTATGAAACTGTGACACTCCAGAGCCATTTACAGTGGTGCGGTACTTGTCCCTTACAGTTGAATGCATAAAATAACTGCACAGAAAAGCTGAGTGTCCTATCCTGCTCCCATTGATGTGAACAAGAAAGTTCCCAATGATTCAGAGCTATTCTCCAGATAAGCACCATGGCCAAAATCTTCAAAATTAGAAACCTAAGTGTGGACCTAAATAATTGGCTTGATTTTTCAGAGATGCTGAGCACCTGTAGTTCTCACTGTTGTCAGCTGGATATCAGAAAGAAAACAGGTCCCTCAATCAACGGGAGCTGCTCAGCACATCTGAAAATCAGTCCACTAACTTAATTACCTAAATATTGGTTTAGGTGTTTAACCGTAGGCATAGAACAAAATGAGTAGTGTCATATTTCCAAATAGTTTATTATCTACACAGTAGCACAATTCTGAAAGCAATAAAGATATCCTTTCACAAGAGTATTTTATAGTCAAGAACACAGAATCCCTGCTTCATCACAATTTCAAATCAACAACTAAATTACTCTACCTTCCATGTCAAATTGTCTCAGCTGATATAATGTATAGATATTTCTTCTGAGGACACAAAATAATCAATCCATACGTATTTTAATACAATGGCACCTGCTGCATTATCATTTACTCACAAGCAAGGCTGTTGTGTTTTATGTAATTTACAAAGGCACAAAGTGCTCTTACACTTCATTTGTGAAGGTCTAGCAAGTAATTGTAAAATACTGGGAATACCTAAGTAAAGCGAATCCTTCTGCTATTAATTAGGAGATTGATTCTGCAAGATGTTCTTTCACCTCCCGTTGGAATCAGGGTTTGCAGAGGTGAACATTAAACCTCCCATTACTACTTTGCCTTTCTAGGTGTGCAGAAGCCAAAAAGGTGATAAAGCCACCCAATAAAGGAAGATCTAGGCTGGAGTGAAAAAATGAATTGAGAATGGAGAAGACTTACATTAAAGTGGCTGCTTCTGCTCTAACCACTTATGTTGGAGTATACACCAATATTCAAGTATTTACCATACAGTAAAAAAAACTGCAGAATTTACCATGGTAACCATTGCACCACTTGCTACTTACTGTACATGTGCTATCCTTGAAGTGCAGAGAACCTTCTTTAAGAAAAGTCTGTATTCAAAGCTTACAAACCGTTGATTATATTTTATAGTGTTTTCAGGAGAAAAAGATCCAGTTTTTTGTATGCAGAGCAATTCTTCAGGTTTTCATTACCTTTTTAGAAAATGAACAGATTGGAGTGACAGGAAAAAAAGAGATTTGAGAATTATACTTTTGGCAAGGCACATCTGGAGCCTGTGCATGCTGTGTATTAACATTTTGGCTCTGTAATATTGTAAGAATACACTTCTTAATGTTTCTGTTTAATCTGATCAGTTATAAAAAATGGGTAGTACTGGGATGGGGGCTATTTATGCTTTTCTTTGTGAGCAATCTAAGCTGATGCTATATACTATATTTTCTTTAAGTAATGAGGTCCGGCACTGTGACACTTTATGTTTTAAAGAAAGTTAATACATAATGTAAAGGTAAAGCTGAGTAAGTCCTGATGGGAGTTTGACTTAGTCATGATACAGTGTGAAATTCATCCTCATATGAAGGGTAAATGCAAGCCTGTTTGCATCCCT